TATCTAAGGGTAATACTGAACAATCATGTTTATTTGTAGACATTAAATATAAAGGAGAATGCTACAACAGTATCAGAAGAACCAGCTTTAAGTGGTGTTTGGGAATGGATCAATTGTATCCTTGAGTGAAACTCCTCCAAAATGCTTTACAAATTAAAAAGTGCTAAGTTTTTTACACCCTCATGAATTGTCGTCACCCATGTCCATCCATATTGCTCGTAAACACTCTACAAGACACAATTCTTGACAGATTTAGATGAAACTTCGTGTGAGTGTGTGTAATCACCCAAGGATGAACCCTATTGAAAATCAGAAAAATCGAAAATTATTTAGTATGAGTTATCTTCTCTTAAATTGTCATAATTGATAATTTTCATTTATAATCTCTTACTTGCTTTCCAATTTTTGTTTTTTTATGCTTAAATAATCATCATAAATATCTGAAACTTTAATCTGAAAGTTCTTTTTAACAATAGCCAGGATTGTCAAAGTTACAGGAAGTTGCAGTGTGAGCAAATTCATCTGAAGACAGTTTTATACTATGACCTATTCATGCCTAACACATTATAAATCTTTAACAAGTTTTTTAGCTGTTCGTAATTTATTTGAATCCAGTATTGACCCTAGAAATAAAATAACAGAGTTTCTGGGTGTAAAAGGAATATTGAAGATGACAGACAGTACAGAGTTTATGACTAGAACTCTGTCTGAAACACAACCATCTACCTGGATAGATTCAGATGAACCATGTATTGATGTAACAGTTTATGAAAGTGATGAGAGGTCAGTGAGTTATAGTTATAATAAGTTTATAAAAAGTTTATAATATTTATTTACACTTTCCTCAATTTGAATGACTAACTGTTGAAACAATGGTCTGAAAGGAATGTGATCCTAGGAAAATGACTTGTGGATTAATGAGAGAAATAATAATCCAGACTACCACATTATCTCACTGAGTTGAATTTATTTATAGCTCAGTGTATGTCATAGTAAGACACTATTAACCAGTTCTCAGACTGACAATGGAATAAGAAACCTAAAAAATTCACAATTGAAATTTCAGTCTAATCATGACCTAAAAGTAATTAAAACATCTGTATATCAAAGAAAATATGTCAGTACTTGACATGATGGTCCATATTGAAATTTAAACTTACTGAAAGTGTTCACAGTTTTGTTATATGAATATTGAGATGAATAAGATCTGTTCAAAAAATTACATCCACATAGGAGAGTTTTAACTATGAAATGACAAGACATACCACCAAATATTTGTATGGCTTAAAAACCAGATTTTGTCAAAAATCAAAAATTTCTCTTCAATAAATTGTTTTAAAGATGGAAAGCTCTCGATTTGTGTGGATGGGGAAGACCAAACAATACTAACAGAAGAAAAGACTACATAGAATAGTAAGATATAACTTTACCTCTAATCAAAGCTTTTATTCTATTTCAAATCTTTACCATTGGAATATCAAATGACCAAAAAACAGAACTCATTATGATTGATTAAATCCGACAAAGGTCTAGCAAAATAACTTGATGGATCATACCCAAAAGGTTTCAGTTGTTAATGTTGATTTGCGTAAGAGGCATGTTCTTTTGAAAATATTCCAATGCCTTCTGAAGGCACACTTGTATACATCACTCAAAATTATAACACATTTCTCTTTAGGGATTTCAATGATATTTGCTGTTCAAACAGAACAATCAAAATCAAAAATGTTATCTAGTAATTGAGAATTTTGTGTGACGTATGCAAGAGTTGCCCGATGTTGTGCAAGTAAAGTAGAGCATATATTATGAAAATAACACTACTTTTTGGGTTCTGGTCATTTGGTCATCCTGTAGACAACTATTTTACAGTCAAATATCTGGTTACTCTAGCAATATTATTTTGATTACAGTAATTTTACCAAAGGTAACTGTGCCAAGGCATCAGCTATTGCTTTATTCAGTAGAAAGATTAAACAGTCTCTAGATTTACTTAGTAAATATCAGGGAGAAGGTAAGCATTCTATTAACAAATAGTTTAAGTTGTAAACTCAATGGGAAACTAGAAATTTGAAATTGTTATGTACTTGAAATTGAATGTAATTTGACTAATTCTATATTGGAAGTTGTTGATAATTAGATTGTAGTAATATATGAGTAATGTTATTTGAAAAGGTGTTACTATTTTGATTCTAATTTAGATGATGCTATATTTAAAGGTGTTACTATTTTGATTCTATTTTAGATGATGCTATATTTAAAGGTTTTACTATTTTGATTCTATTTTAGATGATGCTATATTTATAGTTGTTACTATTTTGCTTCTATNTTAGATGATGCTATATTTATAGTTGTTACTATTTTGCTTCTATTTTAGATCATGCTATATTTAAAGGTGTTGCTATTTTGATTATAATTTAAATGATGCTATATTTAAAGGTGTTACTATTTTGATTCTGATTTAGATGATGCTATATTTAAAGGTGTTACTATTTTGATTCTAATTTTGATGATGCTATATTTAAAGGTGTTATTATTTTGATTCTATTTTAGATGATGCTATATTTAAAGGTGTCACTATTTTGATTCTAATTTAGATGATGCTATATTTAAAGGTGTTACTATTTTGATTCTAATTTAGATAATGCTAGATTTAAAAGTGTTGCTAATTTGCTTCTATTTTAGATGATGCTATATTTAAAGGTGTTATTATTTTGATTCTATTTTAGATGATGCTATATTTAAAGGTGTTACTATTTTGATTCTATTTTAGATGATGCTATATTTATAGTTGTTACTATTTTGATTCTATTTTAGATGATGCTATATTTAAAAGTGTTGCTAATTTGCTTCTATTTTAGATGATGCTATATTTAAAGGTGTTATTATTTTGATTCTATTTTAGATGATGCTATATTTAAAGGTGTTACTATTTTGATTCTATTTTAGATGATGCTATATTTATAGTTGTTACTATTTTGATTCTATTTTAGATGATGCTATGTTTAAAAGTGTTGCTAATTTGATTCTGTTTTAGATGATGCTATATTTAAAGGTGTTGCTAATTTGCTTCTATTTTAGATGATGCTATATTTAAAGGTGTTATTATTTTGATTCTATTTTAGATGATGCTATATTTAAAGGTGTTACTATTTTGATTCTATTTTAGATGATGCTATATTTATAGTTGTTATTATTTTGCTTCTATTTTAGATGATGCTATATTTAAAAGTGTTGCTAATTTGCTTCTATTTTAGATGATGCTATATTTAAAAGTGTTGCTATTTTGATTCTATTTTAGATGATGCTATATTTAAAGGTGTTGCTATTTTGATTCTATTTTAGATGATGCTATATTTAAAGGTGTTACTATTTTGATTCTATTTAGATTATGCTATATTTAAAGGTGTTGCTATTTTGATTCTATTTTAGATGATGCTATATTTAAAGGTGTTGCTATTTTGATTCTATTTTAGATGATGCTATATTTAAAGGTGTTGCTATTTTGATTCTGATTTAGATGATGCTATGTTTAAAGGTGTTATTATTTTGATTCTAATTTAGTTGATGCTATATTTAAAGGTGTTGCTATTTTGATTCTATTTTAGATGATGCTATATTTAAAAGTGTTGCTATTTTGATTCTATTTTAGATTATGCTATGTTTAAAGTTGTTGCTATTTTGATTCTATTTTAGATGATGCTATATTTAAAGGTGTTATTATTTTGATTCTATTTTATATGATGCTATTTTTAAGGGTGTTATTATTTTGATTCTATTTTAGATGATGCTATATTTATAGTTGCTGTTATTTTGATTCTATTTTAGATGATGCTATATTTAAAAGTGTTGCTATTTTGATTCTATTTTAGATTATGCTATGTTTAAAGGTGTTATTATTTTGATTCTATTTTAGATGATGCTATATTTATAGTT